TGGGGCTTGTGTACCAGTTATCAGTATATAATATATGCCCCTTACCAAGATATGGTTCCATCATTGTTTGAACCACATCACCAGAGATACCCAATAACTTCCCGGTATCACTCAATGTATTACTGCCAGTGTACACAATGATATCCAAAATGAGACCACACAGTACAAATAACTTTATACCAAAGCATTTCCTCTTGCTTGGTATGTACTGCCTGAATGAGAGTGTTCCTTTAAATAAAATCGAAGACTCATCAATAACAAACTTCCTGTAGAGATAAAAATACATGCAACACTTTTGTTTCAGGTACATAAACACATTTCTGATCTTATATAACCTGTCGGTTCTGTCAGGCCTTGTTTTGTCTGAAAAGTGTAACATACATAACAGTATCAAAAAACAATTTACTCCTATAATGTCACTAAAACCTGGGGTTCTGTTAACCAGCATGTGGTGACAGTGTGCTTATACGCATGTAGCATAAGCATTACTGAGGCAAAGAACAGGTACATCTCTGCCACAATTGTGTCATTCCACTGGTGTAGCCGTGATCTTGGTGAAAGAATTGTATTTGCCATGGTGTACTCATAGTATGTGTTGGTTTCCCTGACAATAATGTCTATCAGGGGTTCATCAAAGAATAACTGAAAGCATTCTAGTTCAGTGGCAATGTTCCCAAGTGTACAAGATGGCCGTATTCCACTTTGCGTTTCATCAAAGTCATGAGGAACGAGAATAAAATCGTCACCTTGCTGCCAATCCCAGATGCGGTCTGCTGGTGGGTTCTGGATATTGAAACATGGTTGTGGTTGTGGAGGTTGTGGTTGTGGTTGTTGTGGGAGTGTGGGAATGGGTGAGGCTGTTTGTAGTTGTGCAGAGTCAGCAGCGTCGGTAGTAGCGTGGCCCGCTGCTGGTGCCACATGACTCAAGCCACTGCCAACATCACCACCACCATCACCTTCTTCCCCACGCACATTACACATCCCCACTGTAACAATATCGTCACCTTCACTATCAGGTCGTGGTGTAGGGCCATGGGATGTACTCCCAGATTTACTCCTTTGCCTTGGAAGGGCATAAGGCACACTATCAGAACACACACTGCGTCGATCATACTGCCATTTCACTAGTGAATATTACCCCCTCACTGTCGCTACTCGAGCTGCTGTCAATAACTTTGAAATCACTATCATTATCACTTTCACTGCTCAGATCAGTCTTGTAAACTGGGAAATAGCTTCCTTTTTCATCCTGGTACAGGTGAATGTGAATGAGATGTGCCAGCACAAGAGGTGGACGGTTGTGGGTCATCAGGGTTTTCATCACTAATTACGTAATCCTGGGCACTGCTTTCGATCACACCCTCTCCAAAACCATGAAATTCACTTTCACTGGCACTTCCATCACTATTAGAACTCTCACTTGGGAATAGTAGACCTCCAATACACCGAGGAGTGAGGTACTTCTTATCACGAGGCATGGTGAAAATGGACTACCAAGATGGCGTTCCCACAATGCACCACCGAGTCCCAGATTTTTTTTCACAGGGTGCACTCCCACCACTGAGACCCATTCTCTCTCATGTAGGCCTACCAGCTTTCTCCCGCTTGATTTGAAGCCGCTAGAATTTACGTGTATAAATACATCCGAAACAGTGGCGCGTAAGATGTATATATACAACCGAAACAGTAAAAGGGTTAACTAGAAAACTTGTGAAAAGCTGCCACAGATTTTGTCTGTTAATTATATAAATAGATCATTTACATATATGGTTTGCTTTGACCACTTGAGAGCAACTATGGCTATGAAAGCAAGTGCTTCTTAAAAATGACTAATCAGTAATACTGCTGCATGCAAATTAATATGATTTACACAATTATGCCTCACGATGTTCTGCAGTGATTTTGGGTAAGTCTGGCAGAATTTCTCATATAATTTATTAAACATTGCAGTAGAATGCATGGGTGAAAGTACTATATAGATCCAGCACATTAGATGAACAATGATGACCTCTTATTCCATTAATTTGAAAATACACTATTTTTTTTTTTTTTTACACAAGTCATGTGTGATACATGGGACAAAAATGGGCAGGTAGGCTCTGGATTCACTGTTATTTATGATATGGTACATGACTTGAAAAACAAAAAATGGAAAACATACAATTCTTAATACATGTCTCAGGAATTTTACATTTTTTAGCCATGACTGGGATAAAGTCATAAAATCATTTTAGCATCAGAGATTGCAGATCAACTTAAGAACAACTTTATACAGTTGACTAGTAAACATAAAATTAGTTTCAGCACAATAAATGGAAAACACACCAGAAAAATGAAAATGCAAAGCACATCATACACAGGTCCGCCATCACAAATCCGCCAATCAGTTATTCGGTTCCTTCAGTTATTCGGCACTAATTTTGGCTAGCATAATTCAAATTTCCAGGGGCGCCACACCAACCTGCTGGTACTGTTTGGTGGCGCTACTTGCTGCATAAGTCATTCCAATTTTTTTTTCTTCATTTATTGTTTTAACCTGCTTACTTTTAGCCCTAGCCATGGTTCCAATGAATAAAAGAAATGCTTCTCATTATGTAAAGCACCTACACAGTACATTATCCATTAAAGATAAGGTGGCTTTGAAGCCACTGTCGGTTGTCATGAACTCAGTCTCATGAAGCAGGAGAATATGCTTTATTATTACGCTAATATCAACACTACAGCTTATTTGCCTATCACAATTGATCTAACATGACATAATAAACAATATAAATAACATAAAACATGTTAAATACTCCAGAATAAATAATATTTGGCATAACACCGAGCAGTTCAACGGAGGTATGAAGAGGATATGGTATACAAATACCATTCTCCTATCCCTGTCTTGGGGGCTTATATTAGAGAAAATGGAGTGTAGCACAGGGTAACTGTGATATACACTTGTACTGCACTATAAACCTGAAACAAAAGTTATTTTCTCTATAGATTATCACACATAGCAGCATATGTGTAGAGAACCTAGGATAACCCAAAAAAAGTCAACATGGCTTATTTTTAGTACCTGGCTTGGGTTAGCCATATATGATTTTTGGTAAATATTTGATTCCCAGCCAGGGTAGAAACATGAGGTGTGTTTCTTTACACCTGTTGTCTATGTTTACCCATCAGTAAATGGGTACCTGGGTGTTAGCCGACTAGTGTGGGTGTTATCCTGGGACACTGACCTAATTTTCTTGAAATACTCAGCATAACAAGTGGCTTTCTATATAGTAGTATGTCACTGATGTCAGCTAGGCCTGTATACCTTGTACATGTACGTGTAGTAAATATAGATATTACTATTATTATCATTATTATATTATTATTATTATTTTCTCAGTTGTTTGTCGGGTTATCTTATTCAAACTTGGGCAATGTAGACCAAAACTGAATGAAATCAGACCATAAATAGCGGAGTTCACTTCTCAGCCATTAGTGGCCGCTTTGCGGTATATTTTTGTACGTTTTTATGGTTATATTCTCATTTTTTCAGTCTCATTTGATAGAATGAAAGATATATTACAGAAATAGATATGATTTTGATTGCTTTCATGACGAAAAGTACCTTGAAACTGCGCTCACAGTAGCGAAAATGTTCTATTCTTTAGCAAATCTCAAGAGTAAACAAATGACGTCACTGTCCAATACCTGTCTGCCTGCCAGTCAAGAATGGGTTGACATTATTTATACAATTATTACAATAATGCAGCAGTCTGCATAACAGTAAATCTATTTTTTTGTGAATAAAAATTCCAAATGGTAAGCAAGAGTAATATAAGAGGGGCCTGTAGCCGTGAGTAATGAAACACTAATGAACAGAGAAAATGTTATTTTAGTGCCAGGAATGTCTGCATTATTTATTCTGGACCCTATTTTGAAACTGGCATCTGTTGAAATTTGTGTGAAATCGGCCAAACTGCCAATTTCTGACCACTTTATTGGGTAATTGAAGTAAGTGAATGGGCAGTTTCTTGTACTCAGTTGACAGACTAGAAGTAAATAAGTGTATTAAGGTATACACAAATACAGTTACATAGATTATCATACATAGCAGTGTATGTATAGAGAACCTAGGATAACCCAGAAAAGTCAGACAAAGTGACTTATTTCCAGTACCTGGCTTGGCCTTGCCACATATGATTTTTGGTAAATATTTTTTTTCTCGGTTGTTTGTCGGGCTATCTCATTGAAACTTGGGCAATGTATGATGGAAAGATGCTTCTTAACATACAACAAAAATAAAAAAGACGGACGATAAATAAGGGAGTTCACTTTTCAGCCATTAGCCGCCTCTTTCCAGTATATTTTCGTGTGGTTTTTATGGTTGTATTCTCATTTATTTGGACTCATTTGATAGAATGGAAGATGTATTATAGAAACAGACATGATTTTGATTGCTTTCATAACGAAAAGTACCTTGAAATTGAGCTCAAAGTAGCGGAAATGTTCGATTTTTGCCGATGTTCAACGAACTTTGTGTAAGTCAAGCTGGTTAATTTTATTAAGTGTATTCTAACCTAACCACTCTGTAATCCGGCAAACGCAGTAATCCGGCACACTACAGGTCCCAATAATGCCGGATTTGTGATGGAGGACCTGTATAGCAAAACTAGACAGTATAGCACAATAAAACTTCAATTAATTTTTTTTTAACATGTCAGCCATTTCCCACTGAGGCAGGGTGACCCAAAAAGAAAGAAACAATTAAAATGCCCTCATTTAATGAATCTCTGATTTAGCTGACAAGATATATATATATAAGATACTGTGTATATCTAGTACAACCATAAATAATGAATTCAAAAGATTTGCTAAATATTTAAGCCAGAAATCTGGTTATGGTGCACCAGCCTCAGTCCAAGGAGTTCATGATAATGAAATTTGAATGTATGTGGCATCACAAAAGCAACTGAAAAATGAAAGGTGCTGATAAGTGTAACAAATACAAAAATACTCACATATAGGTAAAGGAACTTGAGAATACGCTTATGAGTGACAATATACAGAACATTGCCAGTGGCGGGATCAATGACGGGGAGACGGTGAATTTTATGATGGATTAGAGATCGTATTGCAACATACAGAGACTCATCTGGTCGGATGCTGATCAATGGTCGTGATTCATCCTTCAATACCGCTGCAAAGATTAGAAGTTTGTGTGTTTTAATACCATTGCACAAGCCTTAATAGTCATGTACACACATGGTAGAGTTTTCTCTTCCCCTTATCTACATAATTTAAAAATGGTTTTATGTGAGGAAAAAATATATGCTCAGTGTATGTTGCAGTAAGAGACATGAAATCAGATAACCAACACTGAACTCACTACGCCATGTTTCTAGACGATGGTCCTCTAGCTCTTCCATTTTACGATTGGGTGAATTATAGAAATTCTGCAGAATACGGATGAAGTCTGTGATTGTAAGCATACCAATAAACTGTTGACGTGCAGAATCCCAGAGTGGGGCAGCTCGAACGCCATTGTATACCAGTGCAAAGAAGGCCTGTAATAAAATGAAAGGACAGTGCTTCACATTAAAAATTCTACTCATAAATGTTTGTACATTCATAATTGTTTAAACAACTAAAACTATAAGTATCTTAAATTACCATTACATTACATACTGGAATACAAACATTAATGAATACAGTGATAAACAATAAAATGAATACAAGAATAAGACATATGATGTAGAATGGTATTATTATTGCTGTAATGTTTTGCCCATGCAGCAGCCTTATTCAGTCAAATACAGGCAAATATAACACTGGAGGTAGTACAAGAAGTAAATGTGAGATGAAGAGTCCCTCCACCTTGACAGGTGGTCCGTCTCTTAGCCTCTCAGGCTGTGTAAGCCTCTTAACCCTTTGAGGGGTCCATCCCATAGTTCTATGGCTTTGGAGCCTGGGTCCAAGCTCAGTTTACTCAGATAAGCTGTAAGCAGTAAATTTAGGCCTAGATATGAGAGAATACATCTATGTGGTAGGTGTGCACCAAATGAAACAAATACTGCACCATGCAGTGCATAACGAGAAAAAAACTGCGACCGTATTTTTGGATTAAAACAGCGACTTTGCATTGATTTTCATGTTTTTTACAGTTGTATTCATGATTTCTTGGTCTAATTTGATAGAATGGAAGATATTTTGCAGAAATAGAGATGATTTTGATTGGTTTTAGTACTGAAAATGGGTTGAGACTGAGCTCATCATAGCAAAAATGTTCAATTTTTGCTGATGTTCACGAGTAAACAAATGACGTCACGCATCTAATACACATCTGCTGGTGGGTCTAATATTTGTTCACAAATGTGCTGATATTACTATTTACACAATTATTACAATATTGCTTAACAGTAAATCTTCTATTTTTTTTTGGTGTGAATAAAAATTCATTATGTGAATAAAAAATAAAAAAGGAATTCATTTGTAAAGCCTGAAAACATAACTAATAAACAGAGGAAATGTTAGTTTAGTGTCAGGAATGTCTACACTGTATTCTGGACCCTATTTTGAAACTGGAATACAGTGGAACCCTGAATATTGTCTGCTACGTTGATCGGCCGATTTGTATTTAGGCCAGTTTCTGGGCGGAAATTTTGCTCTGTATTTCGGCTGGTGCCTCGTAAATTGTCCGAATTATACACATCACCCACGCCTCCCACCGGGACGCAGTGCGTTGGTGAGTCAGTCTCCCTGTGTGTGTCTGTGAATGAGCATATACTCCATGCATTCATCCAAACATTTCCTTAAAATCCATTGGTTTTTGTGCTTGTTTATTAAATACGACTGTGAAATAAGCCACCATTGGGCCCTAAGAAACTTCCTAGTGTCAGCCCTTTGGTAAAGAAAGCAAGAAACACGATAGAATTGAAGAAAAAAATTGTAGCAAAGAACAAAAGTGGAGGAGGAAGAGAGAGGGGAGAATGTGCCTTCTTCAGTGATTCTACGATATGTACAATACTAAACCAGCAGGAGTCAATAAAGGCTATAGTGCCAGACAGCAATAAAGTGTAGCATTAACAGTGTAGCAAGTAAGTTAGCGATTAAGCGATAGAAAAAGGACGTGAAACTAACTCCTCCAAAGTTATTGGAGGTATATGAGGCCACTAACAACACTGCGGCCACCACCAACACTATATGTAATGCTTATGCTGTCAGTAGCCTTATAAACCCAACACCACCACCACTCCACATATGTAATGACATATTTTATTCATTCTAGAGTATAAATCATGTTTCTATGTTATTAATATTGTTTATTATGTCATATTAGATCACTTTTGATAGATAAATAAGCCGTAGAGTTGATAGTAGCATCATATTAAAGGAGTATCTTGTCCTGCCTCCAAATAAACTCTCCTCCTCCCTGTCTGCCATAAGCCAACAAAAGTCTTCAATAAAGGTACGTAATGTTTATATTTATTTATATTTATTTCTCAGTGTTTTCTGTATGTAAACCTACAGTTATTCTTTAAAAAATGTATTTTTTTTTTGTTAATATTTTTGGGTGTCTGGAACAGATTAATTGTATTTATACTAATTCTTAAGGGAAATATTGCTTGTAATTTAGGTCGACCTTCTGGAACTGATTATAGCCAATATTCGGGGTGCCACTGTATTTTAAACCTTGTGTTAAATTGGCCAAATTACCAATTTCCAATCACTTTATTGGGTAGTTGAAAGAGTTGACTGGGCAATTTCTTGTGCTCAATCGATAAAACAGAAGTAATTCTAGTGAAATAACTAAGAATTTGGTCAACTGGAATAATGTACGTAACTGGCCAAAATTCGCAAGAGCGTAATTTCGTCAATTTTCTATCAAATTTTGTACTTTGTGTTTTATTACCTTTAGAAAAAGATTCTCTACCATTTCATAAGAAAAAGAACATTTTTTTTTTTTTTTAATTCTTGAACCCTGGCTGTCACTCTGAGATTTGGCCTATGGACCCTCAAAGGGTTAAACTAGTCAGACCTTCAGGCTGAGGGACTAACCACTATGTATCAAGGTTGAGGGACTGACCATCTTTACCTTCAGTGAGTTTCAGGAGTTTCTCTACTCCTGAAGCCCGGCCTTGGGCAAGGCTTGTCTGGTGCTTGGCTGGTCAACCAGGCTACTGCTGCTGCTGGCCCACTGGCCTTCATATCCATCACAGATACACTCACATTAGCAAGACTTTCATTCATTAAATTTAACAGCTTTAAATGTTAACAACAGTTTAAATTAGATTTTTGCCTTGATAAGGAGCCAATGCAGCTCATACAAGTAAGGACTAGTCTGTAACCCCAATTAGGAATAAAAATGCATGTCTAGCCATACGATTAAGCAAAGTAATTAGGCAAACCCACAAACAATTGTAAAAATCAATATGAGAGGAAACAGTTGCATGCTTAAGGCCCAAGATACTTTACTTATTGAGATATTTTCTTATTATTTTATACTGTCATCTATACAGAATCAATAAATGCTATTATATAGCCCAGTTAAAGTTAAAATGTGTAATGATATCAAAGCTAAAGCAGCAAAGAAGACAAACTAAAGTGTCTTCAGTGTTACTTCTGTAATGAGTGTTCAGTAGTCTCAAATGAACAGAAACAATGGAATCCCATCTTGCAGACACACAAAGGGTTTCTTGTACATATTTGGATATAGACAATATTTGTTATCCAATGTAAGAGTTTGTTTCATTTCATCAGGGACAAATCTCATGCTCTCTAATAACCTTTAAAATAATTAGTGCATTATTATTATTATAATCAAGGGGAAAGCGCTAAACTCATAGGATTATACAGCACCTGTGGGGGGCATGTGGAAGGCATTCAGGCTTAATTCAGGGAACTGGAGCACAGATCCAATTCCCTAGATCAAGGAATTTTCCTTGAGGGGAATAATTAGTGCAGTCAATTGCTTACCTTCTTAACCTGCAGCCTGGTGTCAAAAACCACGAGTTTGGCACTGATGGGAATGAGGTCATAGGTGTGGTGGAACTCAAAGAATTTGACAAATATTTGTGTTTCATCTTCCTCTGCAATGAAATAATACAATTAGACTAAATGCCACAGCACTGACAACAGATTGCTAAGAATTAGTGAGGAGAGGAAAGGAAATTTGAAATGTCAAATATACAGTTGTATGAATGTTATATTAGGCTACAATATTTGTTGATCAAAGAAATACAATTAGGTTCAAATAAGCACCAGTATTTTACGATTAAAACTGATCCACTGCACGAGCCTTGCACATGTAACATTATTGAATAAATAAATGGATGCCTATCTAACCAATTTATGACATCATAAATGTATGTGTGGTGAACAATATGAATGACTGCATACTGGCTACATGATGAGTGATGGGTAATACATTAACAGAAAGAACAGGCAGATATAATGCCAAAAAGCACACACACAAGTACAGTGGACCCCCGCATACCGCACGCATCACATACCATACAATCCGCATACCGCTCGCTTTTTTCGCAAAAATTTTGCCTCGCATACCGCCCAAAAACCCGCTCACCGCCCTTCGTCCGAGACGCGTCCAATGTGTGGCCTGAGCCACGCTCACATGTTCCGCCGGCGGCATTGTTTACCAGCCAGCCTCCGCGGTAACATCCAAGCATACAATCGGAACATTTCGTATTATCACAGTGTTTTTGGTGATTTTTTCTGGAAAATAAGTGACCATGGGCCCCAAGAAAGCTTCTAGTGCCAACCCTACAGCAATAAGGGTGAGAATTACTATAGAGATGAAGAAAAAGATCATTGATAAGTATGAAAGTGGAGTGCGTGTCTCCGAGCTGGCCAGGTTGTATAATAAACCCTAATCAAGCATCGCTACTATTGGTGGTACAGCTGCTGCTGTACCACCGTCAGCTGCTGCTGCACTGTCAGCTGCTGCTGCACTGTCAGCTGCTGCTGCACTGTCAGCTGCTGCTGCACTGTCAGCTGCTGCTGCACTGTCAGCTGCTGCTGCTGCTGTTGTACCACCGTCAGCTGCTGCTGCTGCTGTAGCATCGTCTGCTGCTGCTGTAGCATCGTCTGCTGCTGCTGTAGCATCGTCTGCTGCTGCTGTAGCATCGTCTGTTGCTGCTGTAGCATCGTCTGCTGCTGCTGTAGCATCGTCTGTTGCTGCTGTAGCATCGTCTGTTGCTGCTGTACCACCGTCAGCTGCTGCTGCTGCTGTAGCACCGTTGTTGGTGTGGCTTATTGAGAATACCAAGAAACAATTAACCCCAGAGGATTTGCCACCCAGGATAACCCAAAAAAGTCAGTGTCATCGAAGACTAACTTATTTCCATTGGGGTCCTTAATCTTGTCTCCCAGGATGCAACCCACACCAGTCGACTAACACCCAGGTGAACAGGGAAAAATGCCTGGAACTAGTGCTCATATTGGTGAATTTAAAGCCAGCAAAGGTTGGCTTGAGAGATTTAAGAATCGTAGTGGCATACACAGTGTGATAAGGCCTGTTCTGGAAGAAAATGCCAAACAGGACCTACAGTACTCAGGAGGAAAAGGCACTCCCAGGACACAGTGTCTCATCAGTCATTGCTGCATCTTCAATAAAGGTAAGTGTCATTTATTCTTCATTTAGTAGAGTAGTACATGCACAATAAATATTGTGCATGTACTACTCTACTATTGTGCATGTATCCTTCTCTTTGTGTGTAGGAAAATGTATATTTCATGTGGTAAAATTTTTTTTTTCATACTTTTGGGTGTCTTGCATGGATTAATTTGATTTCCATTATTTCTTATGGGGAAAATTCATTCGCATACCGAACATTTCGCATAACAATCAGCCCTCTTGCACGGATTAAAGTCGCTATGTGGGGGTCCACTGTACATAAATACTATATTATCTACATCCATCATCTGGTATGACTGAAATATTGACAAAACCTATTTCCAGCAGATCAATATTCACAAGTTAACAGTTTAACCCTTTCGGTGTGAGTCCCATTACATAATTGCTTTGAAGACAGTGTTGGTCCCATAGTACAATGCCATGAATTCAGCTTACTCAGAAAAGCTGCGAGTGGTAAATCTGGGCCTAGATATGAGAGAATGGGTCTATTTTGTAAGAGCGCACCATATAAAAAAAATCCTGCAGCACAGTGCACGAAAAAAAAACTGTGACCATGTTTTTGGTTGAAAACAGCGACTTTGGGGTGTATTTTCGTATGTTTTTTTATGGCTGTATTCTCGGTTTCATTTGATAGAATGAAGATATATTACAGAAATGGAGATGATTTTGATTGATTTCAGGACTGAAAGTAGTGGAAACATTTGATTTTTTGCTGATATTCCAGAGCCCTTAGGTAGTCAGTTGGTAAACAGCAACCGCCCAGGGAGGTACTACCGTCCTGCCAAGTGAGTGTGAAACGAAAGCCTGTAATTGTTTTACAAGATGGAAGGATTGCTGGTGTCCTTTTTTCTGTCTCATAATCATGCAAAATTTCAGGTATGTCTTGCTACTTCTACTTACACTTAAGTCACACTACACATACAGTAGGGCCCCGCCTTAGGGTGATCTCAAATTATGACCAAAACTTTCTATACGGCAAGTGGTCTTTCAAATACGGCACGGGCCATCCAGTTTGTTTACATTCTCCATGAGCACATCTTTCTATTATGTAATAATAATCACTCTTGGGCACATTAAATGTCTAATTTTACATCAATAGACATTTTCATTAATCCATCTATGATATTTTCTTCAAAATAATATAAGAAATACGTACATAGTATATAAACAAAATATTTTGTTTATATACTATGGAGGTGTAGTGGTCGGGGGGAGGGAAAACATTACGTCACTCCTCTTAATACGTAACACATTTGTTTACAATTCTCGGCTTGAATTATTCATTACTTCTCCCTTTGTTTATGATGGCATCTAAAGGTAGTTGTTATAAACGATTAAACTCAGTGAACAAGGTATGTCGATGGTAATAATATAGCTCTGGGCCACACCCTTTACCGGGCAGGACCGAGTGTACTTGGTCCTCAAAACGTGGTTTTTTTTTGCGCACGTCCTCCGACTCCCCCAGCGCATCTAGGTTCCCGTTCTCTATTTCTGACCAATCACAGACCTTCCCTGAGTCGCCCCGGCTGAGCGGTGATGGTGGCTGCCCGCTTCCCATTGGTCGAGAGAGCAGAATGTAAACACTTCTACCTTGCCGGCGCAAAAACTCGTGTTTCTCGGTTGAGTGCTCCTTATATACTGAAGCATTTCACCCAATACAATGTCGGTAAGTACTGATTTGTGTGTCTAGTGTGTAAATGAATAGTTTAGCCATATTTTGATATATATATGAAGGCGTTGTGAAGCATATTACGAGTGCACCATGCAAATGAAAAAAGTGCAACAAAATAGGACCAAGTACAGTCGTTTCTGCCCTTTTAGGTGCAGTTTTCAAGTTTCGGTATATAAATATTATATTATTTTTATTATCACACTGGCCGATTCCCACCAAGGCAGGGTGGCCCGAAAAAGAAAAACTTTCACCATCATTCACTCCATCACTGTCTTGCCAGAAGGGTGCTTTACACTACAGTTTTTAAACTGCAACATTAACACCCCTCCTTCAGAGTGCAGGCACTGTACTTCCCATCTCCAGGACTCAAGTCCGGCCTGCCGGTTTCCCTGAATCCCTTCATAAATGTTACTTTGCTCACACTCCAACAGCACGTCAAGTATTAAAAACCATTTGTCTCCATTCACTCCTATCAAACACGCTCACGCATGCCTGCTGGAAGTCCAAGCCCCTCGCACACAAAACCTCCTTTACCCCCTCCCTCCAACCTTTCCTAGGCCGACCCCTACCCCGCCTTCCTTCCACTACAGACTGATACACTCTTGAAGTCATTCTGTTTCGCTCCATTCTCTCTACATGTCCGAACCACCTCAACAACCCTTCCTCAGCCCTGTGGACAACAGTTTTGGTAATCCCGCACCTCCTCCTAACTTCCAAACTACGAATTCTCTGCATTATATTCACACCACACATTGCCCTCAGACATGACATCTCCACTGCCTCCAGCCTTCTCCTCGCTGCAACATTCATCACCCATGCTTCACACCCATATAAGAGCGTTGGTAAAACTATACTCTCATACATTCCCCTCTTTGCCTCCAAGGACAAAGTTCTTTGTCTCCACAGACTCCTAAGTGCACAACTCACTCTTTTTCCCTCATCAATTCTATGATTCACCTCATCTTTCATAGACCCATCTGCTGACACGTCCACTCCCAAATATCTGAATACGTTCACCTCCTCCATACTCTCTCCCTCCAATCTGATATTCAATCTTTCATCACCTAATCTTTTTGTTATCCTCATAACCTTACTCTTTCCTGTATTCACCTTTAATTTTCTTCTTTTGCACACCCTACCAAATTCATCCACCAATCTCTGCAACTTCTCTTCAGAATCTCCCAAGAGCACAGTGTCATCAGCAAAGAGCAGCTGTGACAACTCCCACTTTGTGTGTGATTCTTTATCTTTTAACTCCACGCCTCTTACCAAGACCCTCGCATTTACTTCTCTTACAACCCCATCTATAAATATATTAAACAACCACGGTGACATCACACATCCTTGTCTAAGGCCTACTTTTACTGGGAAAAAATTTCCCTCTTTCCTACATACTCTAACTCTTCACTGCTTTCAGTAACCTACCTCCTACACCATACACTTGCAACATCTGCCACACTGCCCCCCTATCCACTCTGTCATACGCCTTTTCCAAATCCATAAATGCCACAAAGACCTCTTTAGCCTTATCTAAATACTGTTCACTTATATGTTTCACTGTAAACACCTGGTCCACACACCCCCTACCTTTCCTAAAGCCTCCTTGTTCATCTGCTATCCTATTTTCCGTCTTACTCTTAATTCTTTCAATTATAACTCTACCATACACTTTACCAGGTATACTCAACAGACTTATCCCCCTATAATTTTTGCACTCTCTTTTATCCCCTTTGCCTTTATACAAAGGAACTATGCATGCTCTC